TCTTAATAATAATTTACATCAAAATTATATACGATGATAAAATTTGAAAGGTACCATACCTCTAAACCTACGGAGTCGTACGTATGGAAACTGCAGCCAATATTTTATATGGCTTAAAAATTTGTAATCAAGCTTAGTTACAATATTTAAAAATTTAAATAAAAATTTTTGAAAATAAAAATTTTAGATAACAGATCTATAAATTCAACCATTTTTCAAATGATAAATCATCTTAATTGGATTAAAATTTAAATTATCCAAAATCTTCATGCCAAATTCGTTACAAACCCAATTTTCAACGGCAAAAAAATAATTGCAAAATCCTCTCCTAAAACGTGTGGCTCGGTTGTTTCTTCTTTTCATAGATTCCTATTCTCATTGAAAGACGTGTGCCTGCCGTTGTTTACCAAGCCCAACTAAGCGCATATGCCGAGATTTACGCACATAACGTCAGTCACTATTTGTATGCTCAAAACTAACTGACATTTATATATGAGAGCATGTGTTAGGCTCTTAGGGAGCATAGTTTACTTCTACATCAAAGACCTATTTAGAGGAATTTTTTTTTTTTTCAATCTGAAATTTTGGAGATTCACTAAAAAGATTAGTAGACGTTAAGTCTCAAAAAAGAGGATTTAAAAATTGAGTTTTTCGGCCATTAGATTTCGTCATCGAAAATTTGGATGGTCACTCTTCGATCTCGAGGCATTATTTTTGTCAAGTGCATGGAGGGGCACAATTAGGAAAAAAAATTATTGAGATTAATCTATAAGTTGCAGAGGTTATATCCTCAAAATTTAAGGTCCTAAAATTTAGCCTAAGTGGGGTTTAACCCTATGAGTAAATAAACATTCTACTCTCGAGGGAGTACAAAACCTTTTGGCTTTATATATCGCAACAAAAAAAACTTTGAGCTTAGATATATCTCCTGTAGGAAATGGTCATATAAAGTGACAGTCTTATATTATTGAAGTAAGGCGTAACTCAAAACTATGCTAAAAATGCACTTTCGATCCCTCAAAGCCTTGCAATAATATAAGAATTTATTGTTTCCCCAGCGTATAAAATTTAAAGTTTCATAAATGATAAAGATCAGGCAGATATATAAACATTTGAAAATCTTGAAAACGGACAATCTAGATAATGTGTTAGAAGATAAACAATTTAGATAATGTGTTAGAAGATAAACTATTTTGTATATGAATTTTAAGATCGAGATGACCAATTTGAAGTTTTTCATAAAAATAACCTTCTCTAATGGTTTTTTAGGTGCACCTTATATAAACTTTTCCCCGTATAAATGAGTAATACATCGAATTTGGGCTTTGCCTTTTTAACTATAGAGATCCAGATGGACGACAACTTAGACCCACCATGTAGGTAGGCAAGTATATTCAATGCGCGCGCCGTGGCTTCATCCCCAAAATAATGAAAGCGCTCATGCTGGCAGGGAATTATTGACTCGATAACTATTTAATTATTAGAAGGGGGTCGTCTATGGGACTCGAAAATGGGTCGGGTCCAAGTCGATTTGGACCATACACGACCCAACTAGCATTAGGTTGGACCTGTACCCAGGTTGGGTCCAAGTTGACTAGACCTGAACCCAACCAGGTCAGGTTGGGCAGGTCGGGTCCTGGTCTAAAAATAACATACTATAATGCATATGTATTTATATATAGAAAAAGTTTATATAAGATTGCAATTTTAAAATGTAAAATTAAAAACGCACATCATAAATCTATCAAAAAATATTGTCTTAATGTTGAAAAACTCTCTAATTGAACATCTCGACATCAAGATGTATAAATATGAAAAAAAAATTGAATCCCTTAAATAGTACATCTTGCAACACATTATTTAGACCGTTCGTTTCAAGATTTTTATATGTTTATAGATCTACTTGATTTTAATTATTTTTGAAATTTAAAATTTTAAAATTAGATATAAAAATAAATTTTGATATAATACTAATAAAAATTTACACCAAAATTACATGTTATGATAAAATTTGGTGGTGCACTTCAATTGGATCGTTTAAAGTTGCAACCTTATAGAAACCACACCCTTTATACATTTCTATGTAAAATATAGACATAAATAAATACCAAGGCACGTTGACCCCAACCCCCAAGTCCACATGACCTGAGAGGGTTCAAGTTGGACAAAGACCTAGACTCAACCACACCGTGTCCATTGTCTAGATCTAGACTCGTCCCCGTTGGGTCAGCTTATTGAGTCCATCGGTGGAGCTGACCTAGTTCCCATCCCTAGCCTTCTTACTAATGTGGACTAGATTGAGAGAGAGATATGGCATGAGGCTTTATAGAGATAAAGAATGAGCACTCTCCACAGGAGCGATAATGAGAGTCTTCTTGCGGTGGTCGAAGCTCTCCAATCAGGAATATTTACAGCCGTTAAGAAGGTCCGGAGAGGTAAGTGAACATTCACCGTTAAGGTGTCCACGTCATCCCACACTATTTTTATGACACTTTTTTTTTCTCGATTTTCGCCCTTTCTAAAAAAAAAAAAGAGTTCAATTGTGTTGCCCAAGGTTCCACCTCCATAAAACTCCCTAACAATCTCTTTTCAAAACTGTTAGGCATTGTCTCTTTTTAAAAAAATATTCACATTGACAAAAAATACAATTTTTTTTTCCTCAATTGAAAAACATTATTTTTTTATTTTATTATGTTGGTAGACCGTTTGGATATCTATTAAAGGAGAAAGATTTCTATCCTTCCTCTACAGCATAGAAGTTCTATCCTCCTCCTTATTCAACCGTCCATTCTAAATGGAAGGCTAAGATTGCTCCAATCACAATGTCACATCTCTACGCTATTTTATTTTTAATTTTTTTTTATAAACTGTTTTGACACCAAATTTTGGACATCCATTCCTCTATTAAACTCGCAGTAGTGAAAAAATATAAAAAAAATATTTTTAATAAAAGAAAATAACAAAAATAACTTTAAAAGTTTCAAAAGATATTTTGATCATTATATTTTATAAAAAAATTTATTTTTAATATTTTTTATAGGTGCGCCTCAATGAGAAGATGGCACATACCAAATTTTATATTCATACAACTTTTATAAAAAAAACTAAAAATAAAATTCTTTGAGACGTCAGATCTAAAATCAAACGATGAGTGGCTCTCTTGATCAAAATTGGACAGCTGGATGGTAAAAGGAGGATAGAACTTCTATGTTGTAGGGGGAGCATAGAAAGCTTGCCCCTATTAAAATATGAGAAGAAAATTTTATTTGCCAGATATATCTATTTGGATGCATTGTAATAAATTTTAAATTCGTATTAAAAGATACATAAATTTAAAATAAATACCATGAAAAAAGGATAATACATGTTTTTTTTACGTATTTCTGGAGTGTCCTACTTGAAGGTAGATGAACATAATAGAATGATAATTTATATATTGCATTGAGAACTGTCTCAAAATGGCGACTAACAGTTTCACCTATGTGTTGGAACCGGTCTTGGACTGTGCGATTGTTTGAAGTCTTCCCTAGGATGTATAAGAATATTACCAACTGCTCTTCAACATTTACACCTCGAGTATCATTCAAAAGATGTCTACTTCGAAGAATCTCACAATCTTTACACCTCGAGTATCATTCAAAATGTCTACTTCGAAGAATCTCACAAAAGTTTTGAAATACATTTAACTCCATACGACAAACTTGAAGGCATCGTTTCCTATGGCCTTAAAGTATTTTTTCCATGTATGCATAGCCAGATAGAGATGAATTCCGGAGAGGAATCTTGTTTACATAAATATCATTATAACTGCAAAGAGCAAATGCAAGAATTAACCGCCGCTTACGCCATTGCTTCTCAGGTCGTTTGGCCAATTCCATCTCAATCATGTTTCTTTGTTGATTATGCTTGTCTTTATATAAAATAAATGAAAGATATTCTAACAAAATTGAAAAAACAATATGTGGACAAATGCATTATTTAAGGAATATATCTAACTTAAACAAACATCTACTACCAAATTGAGTCAATGTGCATTAGAATTTGACCAAAAAAAGTGTATTAGAACTACATATGAGTTTGCAGACTAAAGCCATTTTCTCTAAGATCACAAATCAATGGGAAAAGGATGAGTAAAATCAGCAACCATTTCACACGTCCTAAAAATCAACAAACATTTCACACATGTTACTCAAAAAACTCAAGTCCAAAAGTCATACATAGATTAGGAAGCTCTTCAAGTCACTAATTAAGAGCCCCCCACACAAAATAAATTTAAAATTACAAAATGGATATCTACTCTACAATGTAACATTTAGAACGCAACCAATCCAAACGAAGTTTTCCTTCGAGTCATAAATACGATGGCCACTTTTTCATTAAGAAGTAAATCTATTGCTTACACACGCTCACTTTGATTTTAAGCCTTCCAACTGCTACAATTCTATCAAAAACTTCTCATATGAAAACTCTTCATTTTCTGTAGGATTTTGCGATATTTGTGAGGTTGACATGTCTGCCCTGACTAAATTTTCAACAGTTGTTGTGGAATTAATTACACACCAGCATGACATTTGTTCCTTTCAGGGGTGTCCATAAGCATATCATCTGACATCTGAAGAGCTCAAATCATTCTCATTTGCATTATAATGTGGGTCTGCTTATGGACTTTGCTCAATTTCATGTTCACTTATGTCATCTTCTAATGTATCTTGACAAACAGTCGATAATTACCCTTTCCCTGTGGCATGTTTACCTATAGGAATAAAATGTCATATTCTAATGAGAATTGTAGTACATTAGAATTGTAGTGCAATATAATAAAGTTAATTAAATACTATCAATACAATGGAAATACTTACCTTCTACTAAGTTTATCATAAAGGGAAAAGCTCACATTTCTAAATAGTTTTGTTTAGGATGAGCCTGTTTGCTTAGATATGTGAGTTTTCCAAACATCTTGCATAGATATATTCCTACAACAACCAAAGAAAAATAAAGAATTGAATAATCAGCACTAAAAATTTACTTGAAGATATCGATCCCACACACCATTCGAAGCAGTTACAACATGGGCATGGTCATCCCAACTGAAACCACTTTGGTTAATAAGGTCCTTCGCAATAAAATATTGAGTGTTGTAGCCCAGTGAGTTTTCAATTATTGTACGATATTTTGAACATCAAAATTTTTATTAAATGCATCCAAGACAGACCTTCAATCCTCTTTCTTCCATCCAATATCAGACCGTTTCCCAGCAAAATTAATTTTTTCAATTGTTCAACCATGAATTCATCGCGAGTTGCACTCCAATTTGCCTTGGTTGGATCTTGAGAGGTAGGGGGTTGCTCTGACATCTCCGGACTGAATGGTACCCTCTTAACACTTGTCAAATTATCACACAATCTTGACATTATGTAAAATGGACGCTATAGAAGTTCACATATATCGAAGTTCAAACACGCACAATTTTAAAAGGGAACAAATAACAAAGCAAATAATCAATAGAATGAACTCAAAGCTGTCACACGTTATGGAGAAATCTGCACATAAACAATAATGAAAAATAACTTGCTTATAACTCATGCAAGGAATCCATAAATGTTTAGCTCAATAACCTATGTCAAGAACACATCAATGACATCTCATACAACAGAGGACGACTAACTCCATCAAACAATCATCAACCCAATCAATTCCATGTTCAAAAGATTTTCAAAATTTGAAGATAGAATGAAACCAAAGCAACCCAAACCAAAATTGTGGTTCCCCCATCCTCTCTCTCATCAAATTTAAACAAATAAATCATTGAAACACTCAATTGTCAGTAATATACACCCATTCATCTATTATCTTTAAATTTGAAGATAGAATGAAACCAAAATTTAAAGATAGGATGTCCATTAATAAAATTTGCTAGAGGCATTACAAAAGTAGAGAGCTGTGAGGTACTCCTTGAGAGAAAGGAAATACAGAGAAAAAATACAGAGAAACACAAATGGCTTATTAGAATTAGCAGTCAATGTCAGAAAAAAAAAAAAAAAAAATTGAAACTTACATGTCAAGGTTAGTATGCAATAATCATGGAACACCAGGAAGGTTTTGACATCTGAGTTTAAGAAATAAAGAGTCATAAAGGACATTGAAAACAAAGAACAGGTAAGTTCTCAACATGGGCAAGATTGGGAATCATAAAAAATAAACAAATTGCTTAATATATATTGGGAAGAAAATCACGAAGAGAAAATTACAATAGAATGCGGATCAAACTAGAATAATAAAAATTTAGAGATTAGAAGTTTTGGAAGGCGCTTGGAGTAGCAGAGAAAATTGGTTAAAGAAGTCAAAAAGACGATTATCGCCTACCAAGAAAAATACAAAAACAGTACAGGAGCTTGTTAATATACACCCATTCATCCATTATCTTTAAATTCTTCTCGTCTATATAGAGCACTTAGGAACACTGGTAAGGAAGCCTTCAAAAATAATTTGCAAACCAACACCCAATTTATACAATTTCAGAATTAATTATATTGATTCCTCTCTCTCTAGATCTGCAGTTTATTCCTATATCTAATGTACAAGAGAGAGAGAAAAGCAGGAGCAGGGATGAAAGCGCTAGAGAGAAATCAAGTCATAATCCCATCATTAAGAACAAATATTAGGTCTATCTCTATATCTGTACTGCATAGCACGAGTTAAAAGTAAGAGAAAACCACGGAACCTTGAAAAAACGAAACAGGTCCAACAGAAAATCCTAGAGAGAAATTACAACCTAGAGTGAGAAAACTCAGTATGTACACATGAAACAGACAGAAATTGGTTGCAAAAATTAGTAGGTGCAACCATTGAAATTAGTAGGTGCAACCATTGAATAGAGGAAATAGGTTCTACGCAGTTTATTCCCTTTTGGGTTCAAATACCCTAATTTGGGTTTTCAGAGGGAATTATTTCTCTCTGAGTTAGCAGCTATGAAACAAGATGGATTGAGAAGTTCAATATTATTATGACAGAGAGAGTACCTTGATGGATGGGCAAACGAGAGACATCGTTTACAAACCTTCCTCTGCTGATGTTTTGAGGTTGTAAAACATACACCAAAACCCTAACTTTAAAGATAATACAATGGTAAACTTTCATCACTACACACACATGGGCACATGCACAAACACATACTTAAACGCATAAGATATTCTTATATTAATCCACTGTTTGTCTTGATGCAGGTTCATGGATATGAAATATGCATAATATTGAGGTGTACTTGGATCTGCTTCGATTTGTGCCGAATTAAAACCAAGCTATCTGCAGGATGAGTACATATTTGTGGAGTAAATGAGGATGTACATAAGAGATAGATGTATGGTACTTGCAATCGTGAGCATGTATATCCCATTCACACACTTGCATGTTATTGTTGTTTATGCATGCGAGCTTGCTCATATGGTTAACTATGGGTATATGCAAGTCCTGCATGACATGATATTCACATTTACTTCTATGAATGCATGCCCTATGCAAGTCCTGCATGACATGGTATTCACATATACTTCTATGAACTTATGCCCCATTCATATACTACCTGCTATTATCATCATAAATACACTTGCATGCACACATGCACATCTATAACTCTGGAGACACATGCATACCTAACTAGTACATGAATAAATGAGCATCTGCTGGTGGGTTTTTGGGATGAACTACGTCAGTTTGTAAATTAGAAACAATGGTAGCCCCCTATGTTTTGTTTATGGAACAAACATCAAAGTCTCTCTCGCACAAGCTGGACGTCGTACTAGTGGACCAAAATCTTGACAAGCAAATAAATGTATTAAAGCTGCACAAACATGTATGTCAAAGTTTATATGCAATGGTTAATGAGAATGGAATGGTGACGAAGACCTCCAAAGAATCTTCACCGACCAACCTTGGGAGGGAAATTTCAGCTCCTCCATGAATCTCACCCACCATACTTGGACCGGTGCAGGGACTATCTCAGCTGAGCCCTTGGATAATAAAGAGAAGGAACCGACTCATAGAGACCTAGGTGATCAGGTAAGTGACAAGCAAAAAGAGGTTGAACTGCTCCATTTAAATGAATGGAGAGTCCAGTATTCTTAAACTTTGTAGTCAGATTGCTAAGTAAAGAAAGGGTCTGCCCCAAGCTACATTGATGGGCAGATTTTGGTTCCCCATTGATGATTATTCTGGATGTGTGGGCAACGAGAGTCTGGGAAACAGCATCCTTTGTGTTTTGTAAGATGCTGGACAATAGATATTCTTCTATCCTAAGCTCAGAGGAAGAAGCAATGGGCATTCTGAAATGGGGATGGTGGAGACTCACAGGTTCTTTGTTCTCACCGTGTCAATGGAAGCCAAAGATTTGTAGGTCCCATTTTGCAAAGAGGGGGTATGGTTCAATTTCCATGGAGTACTATTGCATGCCTGGACATGTGAGGTCTATTATGAACTTGAAAAAGTATGTGGTGTCGTGGTGAAAATGGAGTGCTCAACAGTAGTAAGCAGCAGTTTGGATACTATGAGATTATCTGGAGAAGAACTACATAGTAAAAATATTCCGGAACAGGTAATGCTATTCATAGAAAATATAAATTTATGTTTGTCCATGCCCCCTCCAAAAATACCGCAGGTTATGAATCTAGCACTCAAATGTTATATCGGAGTAATGCAAACATTGCTATGCTTGAAAATGGCAGCTGGACCTTGGGGGTACGTCTCCCAAATGAAGAGAGAGAAAAGACCAGAAGAGAAGCCTTAGGAGAACAAGAGCTAGAATGGTGATTAGAGGAGACACCCTGCAAGAAAAGATAACATGGCAGTTGAGTTGGACCCTAAAGAACACATGGCTAAGTATGAAAAGATTTGGGTGGCAGTTGAGTTGGACCCTAAAGAACACATGGCTAAGTATGAAAAGATTTGGGTGGCAAAGCTAGTCCAACCTAAAAATCAGGAAGACTGGACCTAGTGACCTATATAATACAGCAAAATGCCCCTTCAAGTCTGCCAACCCAAATTTTCAAATTTGAATTTCCTAAACTTGAAGTCGAATCTAATTGGCACCTATGGGGAAAATAGGGCTAATATGCAGCTACATTGCAAAAACAAAGAGAGCTTGACACATGAGTGATGACATATCGATAATAATGTAATGCAAATGACGAAGAGGAGGTCATAGATTTTAAGATCGAAGGGGGTTAGAAGATTGAACGGGGTACGTTTCTCCTTCACAACCAAAGAAGATGTGGCCAAGTAGATGCCAGTCAGTGCAACATCTTGACCTAGTACCTTTCACAAATCAATGTTCAATAGTACAGATGGTCCCAATGACCAACGGTGATGATTCACTTCCTAGACCACATGGTATAACTGATGTTGACACATACCCCAGATGGCAAAGAAAATCAAAGACATCAACGGCCCATTCAAATCCTATATCAAACCCGGTTGGACTTACCGCCATTCAGTAGGGCATGTGAGATGCCCCATTGTTGTTCGGAAGGTGGCATGGGAGGTAGCCTTGGTGCTAAAAAGGAAAACTCAAAGAGAAGGGGTCTCTGATAGGGGGGCAGAGAGCTATTCTCCAGATAAACTATGGCTTCATGGGCATCAGTAATTGCCAGTTCTTCCCAGGATTGTATCTTCCACAGTGGTGATTATAGTGATAGAACAAAGTTTTTCAGTGTACATGTGAGTAACCAGATCTCAAACATGAAGCAATCCAACATCCCACTGAAGATTCAACTTCATTGGACAAAACGTTGAGGGCCGCACTATCTATATATCTGTTGAAGGCATCCAGACTTCAATGAAAATATTGCCTTGAAACGAGATTGTTTCATCCTAGAGGTAATGTAAGAAAAAGGGTGCTCTTCCTGTCTGACGCAAAGAGATGCATCACCACCATATCTACAAGGCTGCTCAAGCAGATCAGGTATCTATTGAGGAAGATATACCAACACAAACACACACACAAAACAAACCAACCAAAGAAAAAAACCCTTCTGAATGGAGCTCCTGGTCCTTAATGGATCATTTAAGGCCCAGTATTTAGTCATGCATCAAATCTTGAGAATATAAATTTCAGTATTTGTAAACCATGGTTTTAGGAGCAATGCCGTTTGTGTCTCTTTTGGATTAACCTGGAATATAACAAATCTCATGTTTGGCTCATCAGTATAATATTATTATATTAAAACATCATCCTCATCATTTTAACCTTTTTCCAATTAATTAAGGTCGGCTACATGACTCTTGGTTCTTCATGTGCCCATGTGCGTGTAGTGATGAAAGTTTACCATTGTATTATCTTTAAAGTTAGGGTCTTAGTGTAAATCTGAGAATTTCAGACCATTGGACATCCCAAATACAATCTCATGGGTGTAAGAACCAAAGGAACCAGTTCAAAGCTCCCTATGGACTAAGGGAGAACTCGTGAGTTGGATGGAAATAGGGGAATAGAGAACCCAAAACCAAAATATGCCTGAAAAAAAATAAAGTAGCCAAGAGCATTAGGGGAAGGTGAGTTCCTTATCAAATGCCCACATCTGTAAACATGTGAAACACAATACATCAATTAGGAAAAACCCAAGAGCTTTTGGGGAACGTCAGTTCCTTTTATAAATATCAAAGGCCCATATCTACAAACATATGAGCCACAATGCCACATATGGGGAACACTAACCATACCTAACAACAACGGTGGGAGGAAGTTCTCGTATAGATATTTAAGCTTTGAATGCCAGGATATTTAAGCTTTGTATGCCCATAAGAGCAAATTGCCTCAGACCTGAGCAAAACTTAGTAAGTTGCTGGTCCAGTGTTGCTCAAATTGTTCAAATTAATGGCACCACCTGCAAGCCGCATAAAACGTCATTTTCTCATTTGAGAGATCATTGAAGCAAAAGAAGCTAAGGAAAAATATGGTATGCTGCTAAGGAAGTCCACCAAAACTTCAGTAGTGGAATATATGAAGGATGAATATGTGAACTAGCACAGCTACTGCAATAGAACAGACTTTTCCAAAGAGACAAGTTCACAAAGAGGCACCGCAACTCCCAGCATACACCTACATAATGGAAACCAAACTAGAACTGATATTACATGAAATATCCTAATGACCATGCCACATAGGACCTTTTGCCCACCATTCAATGCCACAAACACCACTATTTTCAAGTACATCAATCAATCATTTTTACCCACATAATACTAGAGATACAACCAAAATACAACACAAAATAAAGCCAAAAAACATGCATCAAGTATGCGTTGAGCCAAAAGCCAACTCCAGCTAGAACCAACATTTTCAATGGGGTCACAATTAGAACAGCGCGGAATATTTAAGTGAGCAAAGTTGGAATGCATGTTGAAAAATCAGGTTTTTGTTTTATGATTAATGATTCCTGACACGCACAAATGAAGTGGTATCTCAATCAGTGAAGCACAGCATCCATAAAGTAGACCATAAAGCAGGTTATTGATCAGTAACTATGCTAAACTTCCTGTTTGAGGATAATTTTGAAGATAAAGCATAACAGGAAGTCCAGAACACTTCCAAGAGACAATAATACAATATTGCAACTTATAAAAAAGAACGATTCTCATTTTGTGTGAATGCTTGCAAAGCGGAAACTTAAAGCTAATCGAGCTCAAGATAAGATATGATGAGGAGATGGCAAGTGGTAGCCTGACTTGAAAAGCACAAGCTAAGGACAACTTGAAGTTGAATTTCAACTCATGCGAAAAGTGAAGATCAACTGGAAGAAAGTTTTACAAAATTCTTGAGTCCCAAGAATTTATTCCAGTCATCCCCGAATTCTGAATGATAAATATTCATTTCAATCCCGATTCCCAAAGGCAAAATCTGTGTTTTCATGTCTGTTTATGTATGAGAAAATTCTATTATATAGATATGAGATATTCTGAAGGCAAAGATGATATGAATGCATCTACAAAGTTCCAACAGCTTCATAGAGGAAGGAGATACCTGCTAGATGGCAGTTTTTTATTTTATCCCTACAGTTTTGGTAGAAAATCTAAAGAGGCAAACCTAAGTCACAAGCTTTGAATTAATGATTTATAAACTCCCATGAATTGTTGTGATACAGATATCATGTCAGAAACTGAAGTTCAAAATGTCACTAGAACAAACAAAATAAAGAAAAATGTTGTCTCTAACATCCAGTCGTACTTTTGACTAGGCGGAAACTAGCCCAGTGCATGTGGAACAAAGTCCCAAATGTGCTACTGGAAGAAACATTAATACAACTGCCAGCCAAAAAAAGCCACTATACGACAATAGTTCGAGCACTCAATGATCCTTTAGAAACATGTCAGTGTTTCTAGAATCAAGTCGAGCATAACAAAAGAAAAGAAAAAAACACAAATGAAGATAGGGTCATTGTGACTAAAGAAATAGTTAACTCGGAGGCTCATACATTCTAGTTTTGCGTGGCCTAACAAGTTAGTTGATCAAACGAGGTAAACAACAAGACAGAAACGGATCAAGCTCAGTCTATGCAAATAAACATTTCCTCAAAGGTGTACTCATTAAAAATTAATGCAACTTGAAAATCCCAGCCATCATGCTTATGCAAATCCAAGAAAGAAGCGGAATAGTACGATGAAAATTTATTCTATGAGAGTAAAGCAGATTCAGACCAACATAAATACACCATCCTTCTGAAGAAGGATCATATTTGCTTATCATGGATGACAGATCATAAATACACCGTCCTTCTGAAGATGAAGAAATATCATGGATGACAATGCTGCAAAGAGTTTGCTAGTGCATCTAACAAACAAACCCATTAAAGGAAACTCGAAAAATACACGAACTAGAGAGAGGAGAAGATTCTTACCTTATTCTTTAGACTTCTTTAGCCATTTAAGCGAACTCTCGAGAGCTGAATATGCTGCAACATCTGTCAAGCTCTTGCTTGCCACCGCATAATCAAACACCTCATATGCATCTGCCACCCTTTCCCCCCTACAAAGCGCCCTCAGAATCACTGCATAGCAAGCAGCCTCCATTTTCATAGACCCCTCCTTCATCACCCCATACACCTCCAACCCTTTATCCAAATTCCCCGCCTTGAACAGCCCTTGAAGCAACGTACTATAAGTACAGGAATTAGGCTCACAGCCTCTATCCTCCATCTCTTTCAAGAGCTCCAAAGCACCTGTGGCATTCCCTTTCCTACACATTCCATTCATTAATGATGTATAAGTCACAGTATCAGGCAAATGCCCCTCTTCCACCATCACTCTCAAATACTTCATAGCAATATCCTCTTTCCCCGCATTCGAAAGCCCATAAATGAGAGTGTTGTAAGTCACAAGATCAGGTTCACACCCTTCTTCTCTCATCTTCTTATAAACAGTTATCGCCTCAGCTCCTCGATCAAGCAGACAATATCCCTTCATGATGGTATTGTAGAGGAAGCAATCAGGCTTGTAGCCAGCTTCTCCAAGCACCCCAAGAAGCCTCGTGGCCTCCCTCAAGTTTTTGCTCCTGCAAACTGCATCAATCAAGATGGTGTAGGTCACAAGGTCAGGCTCAAGCCCTAGAGCACGAGCTTCATCGATAAATTGATAAACCGCAGACATGGCCCTGGTCTTGCACAAATGCCTCACCAAGAAATTAAACGTGAACATATCAGGAGGAGAAGAGGAACGGGACTTCAAATTCGAAGAAGCAATATCTTTGAACAATTCACAAGCCTCATCTTCCAACGCAGAAGAACATAGCGCCCGAACAATTAGGTCACAAGAAACATTATCAGGTGGGAAACCACTGGCTGTCATGAGAGCTAGGGTTTGATGGACAGCAGCCATGTCGGCATTGGAGCAACAAAGCCCTAAAATGATGTTGAAAGTTGCGTGATCGGGCGCAAAACCCGATTTCTCTTTCATGTGGTGGACGAGGGAAAGAGAGTTCGGTAGGTTAGGCCGGAGGAGACAAAAGTCTTTCAGGAGGGCGTTGTGAAAGGGGGTGGATCTGGTGTGGCCACGAGCTGCGAGGGCAGCGTCATAGGTGGCTTTCGCCTCCGAAATGCTCGGGGTTTTGAAGAGGTTTAGTGGAAGTTTCGGTGCTAACTGTTGTTGTTGTTCTCCTTTTGTTGACGATGATGATTGCTTTTTCTTGTGGTTTTGTTTGGTGTTTTTGAAAGGAGCGGAGGGGGCAGAGGAGGAGGGGTTTGTGGGTTTGAGGAGGGGAACTGAGCGGCTTTGGGCTCTGAGAGAAGGGAGGAAGGAACCACCCAGCTTTCCCATCTTCTTTTTCTATCTAATTATGCCAATGGCTGGTTATGGGTGGTGTGATACAGAGATGAAATCCGTTTAGGGTTTGCAGGAGAAGATGCAGAGGTTTCACGAGGATAAGAAAGCATAGCTCTCCCATTTGAGCACCGAGCACCTTGGCTCGGTAACATGGCTCGAACAAAGAAGACCGGTGCGGTGCGCACCATATTTCAGACAAGGGAGTTTCCTATTAAAACGTTAATTTTCGTAAATTCTCTATTTCTTTTGAAACTTGTTAAAGGATTTTAGAAAGGGGTGGTTTCCATAAGGTTGCAAGCTTAAAAAAATCGAACCAAGGTGCGCCTTCAAATTTTATGATGATATATAATTTTGATATAAAATGTTCTTATCATTATTTCAAAATCTATTTTTATATCTAATTATAAAAATTTAAATTTCAAAAATAGTTAAAATCAAGTAAATCTATAAACATATGGAAATCTTGAAAATAGACAGTAGAGATAATATGTTGTAAGATGTACTATTTTTGAGACTCAAAATCTTTTTATTTTTTCTAGTCGAGATGATCAATCACATGGTTTTTCAACATTAAAATAACCTTTTTCGATGGATTTTTAAGGTGCATCCATAGCTTTACATTTTAAGGTTGCAACCTTATATAAACTTTTTCCTTTTGTGAAAATCCTAGTACTTTATAAGAATCCATATGTATCTGTGTTTCTCTTTCTTTCTTTTTTGTTACAATATCTACCACTTTTCCTTCTAAAATCTTTTTCTTTATTTTCTATCTTATTTTAATTTTTTATTTTTTATTTTGTTTTTTTCTAATTTTGACTCTCTTTTTTTTGCCAGATTGTGATTTACGGCCAATAGACCAATTAATCATAGATCGTTAGACACTGTCAAATTTTGAACATCCTTTTAAAATTTTTGGTAACAAAATGAGTTTTTTTTATTTATTGTAATTTGGTACTATATTTATTTGTGTTGTTTGCTCATTATATTTTATTTATTAATACGTAAATTTAATTTATTGTGTGGATAGAAATAAAAACGAATATCATTTGGCTTGAATAATTGTGGTTGAGTAATTTGAATAATGATAATTTCTAATTGTTCTGGTTTTAAACCAGTTAATCATAGATATCAAATTTTAAACACCCTTTTAAAATGTTAGATAACAAAATGAGTTTGTTTATTTCTTATATTTTTGGTACTATATTTATTTGTGTTGTTTTTTACTTAATTTTATTATATTTTTTAAATGCAATTTATTGTGTGATTCAAAAATAAAAAAGAATACATCAGTTAATCATAGATCTCTGGATGCTGTCAAATTTTAAACACCCTTTTAAAATTTTAGATAATAAAATGAATTTCTTTAATTTATTATTGTCTGGTACTATATTTTTTTGTGTTTTTTTCTATTTAACCTCATTATATTTTGTTTTTAAAATATATAATTTTAATTTATTGTGTGGATTAGAAATAAAAAATAACATCTTTTGGCTTGAATAATTGTGGTTGATTAATTTGAATAATGATAATCGTATTTCTAATTGTTATGGTTTTATATTGTTGTAGTTTTATATCAGTTAATCATAGATCTCTAGACGCTCTCAAATTTAAAATATCATTTTAAAATGTTAAGTAACAAAATGAGTTTTTTTTATTCATTGTAGTTTAGTACCATATTTTATTTGTGATGCTTTCCATTTAACCTAAATATATTTTATTTATTAAATTTATTAATATAATTTATTGTGTGGATAAGAAATACATAAGAATATCATCGGTCTTGATTACTTGTGGTTGAGTAATTTGAATTTGAATAATAATAATAATATTTCCTAATTGTTGTGTTTATTTTCATAACTAATATTATTGTAACAATAATGACAATTATATACTTTAATTAATTGATCAGCATACTATTAATTTTAGAATAATAATTAATTATAATAATATAATGACACTTACATCAATGATGTATTAGCATCGTTTATTAGCAATAACAAATTACATATATTAAAAATAAGTAATGATCTTATAGGACTCTCTCCTACCCATGTGTAGGGCCCAAAATGTTCACCATTAAAGTTGAAACGGATCTCTATAATAGTTATCACTTGGGCGTGGAACTTGATTTTTCTATAGATCCGTCCCAAATTTAATAGTAATCCTTTGGGGTCCTACACACATAGGTGGGGGAGGGTCCTATAGGATCATTTCTCATTAAAAAATATGTGTTACAATTAATATAAGGAATTAATGAACATAATATATTAAAATGAAAACTTATATTCATAATAATTAACATGATTATAGATATTGATATGCATAAATTTAAAGTTATTGAAACTTTATAATATTTATTATTATATATTTATGTACTATAATTTCATTAGTGGAGATTATGATATACACTTTATATCAACTAATACTAATTTTCAACAATAATTAACATGGTGATATATAATCAATTTGATTATATTAATTATAATTCCAAACTGTTGTAATATTCATATAAAAAAAATAACTATAATTATTAATTAAAAACAGCAAGAGTATGATTGTAATATTTTATTAAATATCATGTTTATTACACAAATAATTGTAAGTATAATTATATATTGTATCATTATAAATAGAGTAATGATCCTATGAGACTCTCCCACACCCATGTGTGTAGGACCCTAAAGGATCACCATGAAATTTGGCACAAATCTCTAGAAAAATTATTATATAAGTATAGGATTTGATTTTTCTAGAGATTTGTGCTAAATTTAATGGTGATCATTTGAGGTCTTACATACATAGGTGTGGGAGGGTCTCATAAGGTCATTTCTCTTATAAATATAACTATACATTAATAATATTATTATTATAAAAATATATTCCCCATTAAGTTTTTATTTTCAAAGATACCTTTGGTCGGCATTATAAATGTGATAAGTATGTGTACATGAATAATAATAATTATACTTTGATAATTAAAAAAAGTCATAGATATAACAATAATGCAATACTATTAGAATTCTAACTAAATAATATTAATCTTCATATTAATCTATTTTAATAAGCTATGAATAATTATATAACATAAATTTATTTTCATAAGTAATAAATATTTCTATAATTGAATTAATAATTATAATAATATCACGTCTATGTTATTTAATTTGAGATATTAAAATTTGACATTTATTCATTTCATAAAATTTATGTATTCAATCCAATAGTATTTCAATCATTGTTTTTTTTTTTTTTTTATAACAAGTATTTCTCCTCTCTTTCACTATAAAAAGTATTACTTGTCTCTTTCGCTTTCTCCCTATATGCGTGAAAATCAGTTACTTTTTAGTTAATTTTTATTTCATTATATGTTTTCATTTTAAATTTTGTAAATTTATTTTCATTATGAAAAGCATTTTAACAACACCTACAATGCAGGTGCATGCTACTAGTGTTAATTTATATAAGGGTGTGGTTTGTATAAGGTTGCAACTTTAAATAATCAAATTAAGGCCCAGGACAGCTCCAAATTTTATCATAAATATATTTTTGGTGTAGAAAATTCTTAGAATGTCATGAGAATCTATTTGAATATCTAATTATAAAATCTTAAACTGTAAAAATAGTTCAAATCAAGTAGATGTATAAACACTTGAAAATCTTGAAAATAAAAATTCCAAATAATGTATTGCAAGATATACTACTTGTAAGACTCGAAATCTTTTTTTCTTTTCATATTTATACATCTTGGTGTCGGGATGATTAATTAGAAAGTTTTCTAATACCAAAACAACTTTTTATGATGGATTTTTTAGATGTACTTTAATTCTACATCTTAAGGTTGCAACGTTATACAAACTTTTCCTTTATATCATTTTCATGCCGAGGAAATCCTGGGATTCACTCAAGATTTGTGTATAAAATATGCTCAGTGCAAGATGCATGAACACACCCACAATTTGAGTATAATAAATAAAACAAAATGCGAAAGGCCCACCACAACAATTAGATTTAGTAGAATTCTACCATGTTATTTAAGATTACAATTTTGAATTAGAATATATATATTTCGAAAAAGTCTTCTCAACACCTATAGGTGAAAATGAACAGTGATTTCGCCATTATTCATCACCATAAAAATTTTATTGTACGGTCACGGTTGTCATGAAATATTCTCAATGCAAGATGCATGAATACACCCACAATTTGAGTATAAGAAATAAAACAAAATATGAAAGGCACACCACAACAATTAGATTTACATGGGTCGCATAAAAGGGTTACGTTTAAAATATCGACATTGAATTCTACCATGTTATTGAAGATTACAATTTTGTATTAGAATATATATACTTTGGAAAAGTCTTCCCAATACCTATAGGCGCAAATAAACAGTGATTTCGTCATTGTTAATCACCGTCCAAAGTTCATTGTACGGTCACAGTTGTCCAGTAGTGTTTCAATTTTCATGTTTTTTTTTTACGAATCGAAATGATCTAAAATTTGGAGTATATATACATCTTAATGATGCGCATCTAATAAAAATATGACAAACATAATTCGCAGAATATAAATTTATCAAAATACCCCCAAAACTTTTCGGGGGTATTTTGATCAATTTATGCTCTTCAATTTATTTTTGTATATTTTTATTAGATTCTCCTATTTTTTATAAATAGACACTCCAAATTTCAAATCATTCTGATTTATAAAAAAAATTGAAAATTGAAATACTATCGAACAACTGTGTCTTGCGATAAAATTTAGAGAGTGATGAGGATAGACGAAATCACAAATCATTTTCACCTATATGTGTTTTGTAGTATCTTGCAAATACTTCACTCTAAATATTGACAAAACCATACGATTTCTCTCTTTTAAACCTACTCTCAAGACCTAGATATTAAATCAACCCAAATCCATGGGAATGCCACCTCCCTTTCTTGGAGAAGTCTTGGTTCTTACAAGTCACTCCTCTCTCTCTCTCTCTCTCTCTCTTGGAAGCCCTACACCTCTCTCTCTAGAAGACAGCTACTCCAACAACCCATTGACCCAAAAGAGATTAATATGTATATCCCTTGGTTTTAGCATTGTATTATTTGCCTTTGATCTCCTTTATAAAATCAGACACCTCACATTACTTCCATGCAAAAGACTATTTAGACTCTAAATATAAGTTTCAATGTTCCAAATTACTTCCATGCAAAAGACTATTTAGACCTTTAATATAAGGTTTCGATGTTCCAAACTATCTTTTTTATTGGACGGTGAAATTTGACACTTATTTTGAAAGATAGTTTCTTACACCATCCAAATATATGAATTGAGTAGATTATTGTAACCTTTCCTCCACAAATGCAGTTGTAATCTATATCATTTTCTTCCCTTTGATTGCCACTAAACCTAACAATAAGCATGTAACACCTTTAGTCGTTTTAAGAAAATGAAGAAATGCGAAGTCACGAACTTTATTATTGAAGGTGCGCATCAAAAATCCTCTATAAGAGTATGTTCTAATATTGGAGAAGCCTCGAGACGTGTAAATATGAAAAAAAAAAGAATTTGAAGTCCTAAAAACAATGTATGTTGTAATGAATTATCTAGACCGTCTATTCTCAAGATTCTCATGTATTTATAGATCTACTCAATTCATAACCTTTATCAAATTTAAATTTTTACATGTAGGGACAAAAATAGAACTATTATTAGGTTTTCGACACCAAAACTACTTTTTCAAGTAAAGATATGTACCTTATTTCTACAATATAAAAAAAAACCTATAATGCAAGAAAGTGGTAATTTAGCTATCATCAAACCTAACAATGAATATATACACCTGTTATATTTATCCATTGGAGTGGTCCTCGATGGCAAAGCACATCATTTTGCATATAATAAATTTTTCTTGAGGTTCTTACGAAACGCGTTTTATGCTTCATTAAGAACGTGGAAACCATTGCACAAAATGTCACACCACCCATTCCATACAAAAATATGACCATTGAAAATTCGAAAAATAAAATTTTACTCCAACTGCTCCCCCACCTAATATATTATATATGGTCAACTTCCATTAGACAGAAGCCAACCCTATCCCGGAGTCGACTATCGTTTATAACGTGGCAATTAGGGGTGGCAATGGACCCGGACTCTACATAGGATCTGGCAGGTATACCTCATATGGATCCGAGTATGGGTCTAATATTTGGACCTGTTGGTCGGGTCTAGGTCTAAAACTTGGATCCAAATACTATTCTGATCTGGGTCCGAGTTCAATTCTATTGGAAATAAAACAGCTATTAAACGACAAATCAGACGGATTAAAATCTAGTGGCAAGTGATTGTGTGACCTTGTTACTAATAACATGGGTATAAGATTGTTTACAGCACGAAATCGATAAGATCTCAAATATGAGATCCCCTAGGCTATCGCTATAAAACTAGTTGATTAAATTTTTCATAGAACAGCCGTGGGAGCAGTCGAATTATGATTTAAAGATTAATTAACCTCGAAATGCCAATTCCTTTCCACATCATTGGCAGTGCCAGCACAATCATTTCGTCAAAATAAAGAAAAAAATAAGTCGATATAAAATAATCAAAATAATTGAAATTAAAGAAGAAAAGAAGGAAAAGTTTACTTGTCGGGGCCGATTGGCCTGAGATGCCTCTTTTTCTTGCCTTCACTTTTTTGTTTGAAAAATAGTGGGCTTTTCCTCATGAGATCTGCTGAAAATATTGGCTATAGATAGTTGAGAGGGATTAAAATTAAATTTAGGGTTTTGTAGCTTAGGTCTAAGGTCATGGCTTCGAGGATCTAAAATTAAAGTTAAAACTCCATGCTAAGGGTAAGAGGGCCTCTTTTTTTTTGTTGAAGGCAAAGGAGAACCCCATCTAGCCACGGGTGTCTCTCCATAGGGATAAATATGTTTTGATCGAATGAGAGGCAAGAGAAACAAATCCGGTTGGCTCTAAAGATAAGATATTTCATTTTAACGAGGGAAGGAGGTGAGGCAAGAGTCCCTTCGGGGTATTCTCGTCCTAACTTCGGGTTTCAGAACTTCAGCTAAAAATACGAGGGAGAAATTCACAGGTGCCTAATCATTTTTTTCGAAACCTAATTATGTTTATAATATTATTTATTTTTACTTTTTTTATGCGAAAATATAACAAAAATACATGTAGATTTAAAACAATTCTTATATGTTTTGGGGGTGTTTTGAGTTTTTTGGGATTTTTTACCAAAATTATATTTTTCATAAAAAATCAGGACACTAATCCGTTTAGGAAGATAGGGTTTAGGTTTCTTGAGCCATAGGGTTCTTAATTCTAGGTTTTCTCTGGGGGATCAAGTCTCTATATCTCAAGTTTGTCCCCCCTTGAATGACCTGAATAGAACTATTATATAGGTTTCAAAAGTCAGTGGTAAGTTAATTGAGAATGATTTCCAATGGATTTCTATATAAAAATTGAGATTATCGGGTCAAGAGGCCTAGACTCCACAAAGCGCGGCGTTTGCATACTTTTGGTTTAAACACGAGTTTAAGATAAAGTCGCCTAATTTTTCAGGAATGAATTTATTCCAAATTTCGTATTTTCTTGATCATTCGTATCCCAAAAGCTTATATCTAAGTCGGTTTTTCTTATTTTCTAGTGTTTAGGATAAATTTTTCGATTTTAAAATGGTTTCCTAGGGTTTAGAATTATCTTAGAGATTCTCTATGATATTCTAGAAGGTTGGGACAATGTTCCAAAGGAAAAGGTAGACTGTAGTGTATCTAGGTTGAATGGTCTCTAAGGGTATACTAGGCAATTCTAAGACATTTTTAGGGATTTAAAAATTTAAAAAAATAAAAAAACGAGGAAAAATAACCAAATTCAAAATGGGGTGTCTACAAAGACAATAAAAAGGGGGGAAAAAAAGAAGAAAGCTCATAGTGATGGTGGAAATGGGCGCAACTAGGGTACGGGTATGGGTCAAACTTTGGAACCGACAGGTTGAGTCTGGGTAAAAAAGCCTAGACCCGAATACATTCAAGTCTGGGTCTAGGTCTAGCTGAACCCAACCCATATCTGACCCATTGCCACCCCTACATGGCATGCTGTTTTTTAAAGCCCGAGAAATTTCGAATATTTGCCCAAAATATGTGGAGAGAGACCTCAGATAATTTTATAAAGCACATATACTATACTCATTTAGGGCATAGTTTACTTCTACTCTCTTGGTCAGATACCTACTCGGAAATATTTTTTTGATTTGAAATTTTGATAATCACCTTAGAGTCGCTAGATGATTATTCTCATTTTTTTTTTAGTTTTCTAACACTTATATATATATATATATATATATATATATATATAGTAAGTAAAGTTAATTATAGTAGAGTGTAGGGCTACCAAACTAAGTAAGTAAAGTTAAGTAAGTCTACCTTACTCTTAGTTTGGTTTTG